GATCGCATAGAGTAAAATAAAAGGGGGCTGAATTTTGTACAATGCGATCGCGGAAGCTGTAATGCGATTGCATAGAAGGGTTTCTGGGCCTTGGCAATTTGCTCTATGCTATCGCGGCCTATCCTATGCGATCGCATAGAAGGAAAAACTGGGCAATAGACAGCAGCAAATTCTGCTGCATTTTCTAAGATCCAAACACCCCGAACCACCTCCGAAACACTCCCAAGCCCTCGGGGCTCCCAACCAAACACACACACTAACTCAACAACATCCTACGAACTTAACCATGCGATTAAATCGCCAAAATAACATCATAAACGAGGAATCAAACCTCAAAATCATCACTTTTTCATCAAATCTCATAAACTTTCAAACTTAGAGTTTTAGGTCCGAAACACGTCGAATGACGTTCGATTTCAACCAAACTTCACAGAAAGCGCTTAAACCATATATAAGACTTGTACCGGGCGTCGGAACCAAAATACGAGCCCGATACCACAGTCTTTTAATAAATTTCCATTTCCAATTTCGTTAATAATTTCAGATAAACAATTTCACAGAAAAATTCATTTCTCCGGCTCTAGACCTCGGAATTCGACTCCGGGCATATGCCCGAGTCCCATATTTTTCTACGGACCCTCCGGGACCGTCAAATCTCGGGTCCGGGTCCGTTTACCAAAAATATTGACCAAAGTCAACTTTAATCATTTTAAAGCCATATTTTGAAATTTTTCACAGAATTTAACATATAAGCTTTCCGGCTACGCGCCCGGACTGTGCACGCAAATCGAGGCAAGTAAAAATGAAGTTTTCAGGGCCTCGGAAGCGCAGAATGAATGAGGAAACAGGTGATGACCCTTTGGGTCATCATAAAACTCCATTCAAAACTGAGACCTACCACACGTTGGATAAGTTGATATCGAATTTTGTGTTTATGCCTTACATATTGACGTGAAAAAGGTAATAGGATTTCTTAAAATGTCAGTTTGATGGATCAGATGATACTAAATAGTAAGTATATTAATCACCAGAGATTATAGTGAGATGAATTAATCTTTTCATCTTTAATTCGAGGTTTTAAATTTGAGTCATGTGAATAAATTGTTATTACATTTTTTTTTTATTAAGTTTGAGAGTATGCGTTGTATTCTACTAGACTTTGCTAGACTTCCATAGTCCATTGGGACATCAAGTTCAGAGTTTTGAAACTACCAGTTTGCATCTGAGTACCAAAATTACCAATAACTAACTTATTTAACAGAAACTTTCCATAGAAATGTTAAAATTTTAAATTAAATACTCAAAAGTGTGTCACGAATTATAAAATAATTGTGACATATGATGAGATGTTCGTATAACATTGTAGAAATACTAGTCTTAGGGTATGCATGTTGCGTGTGTCACCCATATTAATGAAGACAAAGATTTAATAAAAATATAAATATTATAAAAAAATATGATTGAGATATAAATTAAAATGAAAGAAAAAAAGTGTAAATTTCCAAAAAAAAAAATTATGATTGATGATGATATTGTGTCTCTCATAGTATAAGTACTGCTTTGTCATGAAATCATAAACTCATATTTATGGGTTATCTTTGTTGCTTAACTGTAGTTGTGTGTATAGGTTGCAACATAAATTTCTAATACTTTTTTGGTAAGAGTTTTATTTGTTTTTCCTTACTGCATATTTTATGAATGAATTATCGTTATGTTACCTCGTTCATTTGATGAACGATACAACAAGATAATTTTTTTTTTTTATTGATTTTAAAATTCTATTCTTTCTATCCTAATTTATGTGTCATATTTTTTTTTCTAGTCCGTCCCAAAAATGAATGTCAAACTTTCTTATTTTAGAAATAATTTAACCTTAAACCTTTTAATTACTCTTAATAAGATGATATATATCCATACAAATATTTATGGCTTGATTTAAAATCGCATGTTTCATAATGTCCCACAAAATAAAAGGAAAGTTATTATAATATGTTACATAACTCAAATAAAATAAAAAAATATACAAAATATATAATTAAAGCACGACCTATTGCTATTAATCTCAAAAAATTTGAATATTTTATTTATGTTTCCTTATCGAATTTTATAATTGGGTGTATGATTTTATGTAAGTATATATTGCAACATTTAAATATAAACTTAAGCTACATAATAGTATATATTTAATATGACTATAAATTATTGTTATTTTCGAACGTAGGCATGTCATTTTTTAACTTATTTAAAAACTTATTCTTACTCGTCCTAATGTGCTAGTAAAGTAAACCTCAATTACGTGTGCATACTTTAACTACTATATATAGAATAGAAGTCAAATAAGAAACGAATTTAGTATAACTTAAATATTAGGAATTTGTACATAGTTGAAATAAGAAAATATTTAATAATAAAAATTTATTGATTTTAAAATTCCAAATTATAGAAAATGATTAAATTATAAGTTTGTCCAAGATGAAATAAAATTTTAAAGGGTACAAAAGGCGAACGATATTTTGCTAAGGCTTTCATGCTTTTAATAGTACTAGTTTCTACGCTCGTGCGTTGCACGAATATTTCAAGTCAAGTATCTCATAATTTATACAAAAGATAATACTATATATATAAACATTTTTCAGAGTAATAAATGGAGTTAATTAATGTATATAATGAATGACCACTGATAGTGAACTAATAATTGAATTCAAAACGTAATTGGACACCAAATTTCACCACTGCTAATTCAATCTATATTGAGACCCTTTATGTATATTGAAAATACAAATATTATTCTAACATCACTAATTTCAGTTTGGTGATACAGGATATACTGTATATAGTCGAGGTCATCCATCTTTGATTGACTAAGCTATTCGCACAAGCAAAGAAGAAACTGATATATTTAAAAGCTAGGTATTTATTTTTAAAAACAATTCAATATTGAATAAAATAGTGAGTTATTTATTGTTTTCAATATTTAGGACTTCAAATTGAACTAAAATTTATTATTTGAGTATAATTGTGTATGTTATGGATTAGAGTCTAATTGATATTTGAAGTTTTCCACGAGGAAGTCGAAGTTCTTCACGAGGAACTTCTATTTAGTGTTTGTTTATTAGAAAAAGAGAAATCTAGTCCCAATAGAAAAATGTTTTGTTTTGTCCTAATATAAAATTACATTTACACCCATTATTAAGTTGCCAGATGGAAGAAATTTTAACTTAAAAGGGCAAAAAAATCAATCAATTTTTAGTTAATATTTTTCTAGTTCAACATTTAGTCTTTCAACATTCGTGCTTTTATAATAATATAGATAGATATAGATAGATGGATAGATAGATATAGATATAGATATGAATAGCAAAAGAATCATATTATACATGAGTTATTATTATGCAATCAATTAAAAAAATTACATTCGATAAATATATATATATATATATATATAATAATTTATTTAATAAGAAAAGAGTTGTGTCTTTTACTATGTTTTTCTTCGCCTGACTCTTCTACCTGAGCAAGTGCAAAATGGAGTTAAATGCACACATAATTTTCTTTTTAAAAAAAAATATATATTTTCCTTCAAGATATGGAGTTGCTTAGTGAATAGCTGGTGCTTTTTCTCAACAAAGAGGGTTCTTCGTCGATAGGGGTGGCAAAATGGTTAAAAGAAAATAGTTAATCATCCATCCATATTATCCACTAAAAAATGGGTTGGATAATGAACTTTTTAAAAATGTGTCAAACATGGATAAGAACCATATTATCCATTTCTAAATGGATAACCAATGGGTAACAAATGGATAACCAATGGGTCTAACTTTTACATTTGTAAAGCCTCAAGTTGGGGGTTTCTCAAGTTAGAGAGACTAAGAATTCTCTCAAAAGTGATCATATGCAAGAAGCCATGGATAATATCGTTACCCATATTATCCGCCGGTTAACCCCTTTTTTATCCGTATTAAATATGGGTCGGGTCGGATAATTTATCCGTTTTTATTACCCGTTTTCGATCCGAACCATATCCGACCCGACCCGCCCGTTTGCCACTCCTACTTGTCAATATGCGAATGATCATCAATTGTGATGTATAATCTTAAAACTTAAAATAACATTGTTCATCAAGAAAACTTAAATTATTAGAGGAGAAGAGGAATAGAGAAAAAATTATCTATTGAGTAAACATAAGGTCTATGGACATATGTACTTGGTTTACCTTTGGAAAGAAAGCTTGACTCGATCATTCCAGGATTATGTCTACATAATCACAATATGCTTGCTGATCAATGTGTCTTCATATAGTTATATCATTGCATGCTCCTCAACTGATAAATGATACAATAACTCTAGGACGGGAAGTTCCCTAACTTTGATTATTGAAATGAAAATTCAGAGACAATGTTAGCCTCTCATGGCACATGAAAAAACATTTTGTTTTTCACTTGATATTAGTCTTCCAGATCAGTTGGTAGCATGTCTTGCCAAATAAATTTTAAATAGTAGTTACTAATGTAAGGACACAACTATTTAGAGGAGGCACAATATAAATAATTACATTTTAATTTTTTATATAATTATTATTATTATTAAATATTAGGATATTATTAGAAGGGTAATTTGGTTATTCAACTTTCTAGTTTAGGGCTACCTACTTTTAATATAGCATAGATGATTATGGTTAAATAATAAATTTCCCAATTTTAGAAGTTTAAAGTTTAAACTGGAAAAGATGGGGGTATTGGGAGATATAACATAGCTGTAAATATGGCATAATATTATTTTGTGTTTATTTTAGGAAGTTGTATATGTTTAAGAGACTATAATAATGGTTACCTTATTTTCTACGATAGCTTTCTTAGTTAACAAGACATAGATTTTGTATATATTAACACATGATTATTCAATCGAAGATATAGAACTTCATTCTCTCTTAAACTCTTCATGGTACCAGAGCNTCGTCGTCTAGGGGTATTTTAGTCTTTTCAGCATCTTCTAGACAGACTGTACGCCTACAATTTTTCTTTACGGCATATTTTATTTTAGACTATTCCGTTCACGGTCTCTTTCTCTCTCTACATACGCGGCTATTTCTCCTCTCAGACGTGTAACATCAACATCCTCTTGCTTTTGGTGCTTTGGGTTGTTTTCTTACCATGCAAACACCTGCGTTTCACGGAGACCAACAATATATTTTGGGGTTAAACATTATCTCTTCAGGTTTTCATGGGGATTAGCAATATATTTTGGGGGTTAAACATTATCTCTCCAGGTTAGATTACTTCGACGTCCTTGTTTCTGGCAAATCTGATGTTTACTTTTAAGGTTATATTGGACAGTTTATTGAAGTGTTTAGCTATGATAGTTGAATAAATTCTGGATTACGCTATGTTTTGCTTGGGTTTTCTGTCGATATTTGTCGCTTCGCTTCTCCACTATTCACCTTTTCGTCTCTGTGCTCGTTTCCTCACAGGTTATTACTTTGTCTGATCTTTAATTTTAAGATTAGACTAGATAACTTGTTGAATTTTTCAGTTGTCTGATGTTTATTAAATACCAATTACAAAAGTTAAAAGGGATAAAAATTACCGTGTTAACTGAAGGTGACTTTCTGATGAGCAAAGTCAATGGATTACGAAGGAACAAAGATAATAACTGTATTTATATAATTAGAAGAACCCTGTATGGTAGACCGAAACTTATACAGTAGAGTATAAATAAAGTGTTGACCATTTTATTATACTAATGATTGTTGATTTTTGTAGAATTAACTTCTTATTTTGTGAAGTAGTTGTTACCTTTCAATGGATCTTGACACACTGAAGCTGAATCCTCTTGGATTAACATATGCTTTTTATGTCTCTGCTCTAGAGCTCTGTGCGAATGTTTGTGTGATTTATGAGCTGAAAAATAGATTACTGTAGCTCTTTCATACAATCTTTAATGTGCTGACTAAACTACCCTCCTGCTGATATGCGATCACCAGGCCAGACCCACTTTTCCAACCCAACCACCTTACTTTCTTCTTTCTGTTGTCATTAATTGATATAGTGCAGATTTAAGATTATATAAAGCAAAAACCTCAGTTTGCATACTCTTCTTTTAGGCTAATAAATTAAGTTTAACCAAGGTTGCTCCTTAATTACATTATTTTATTCTCTTGATTTTTTTGGTTCCGCTTTCCTGCTACTTTTGTCTCTCTGCTTGTTCGCTATAGGTTATTATTTTGCGCTTCATATTTCATCTCCTTCTTCATATTTATGTGCCTGAGTTAACTGAAAAAGTTTCTTTATTAGAAGTACTTATTATCTTTTTCTGATAGAAATATATAAAGGAGTACACAACCAAGTTGCTCTGTTTTTCCTCGGTGGATTTAATAACAATAAGAAAATCAGAGTTACTCAAGTCCGGAACTTGTTAATGGGGAAGACTTTTAGTCTTCTCTGCCTCTACTTGTTTTTCGATTCTCCGGTCTGAGAAAACAGTCTTCCCTTGATCAAATTGTGAACTATTTTACTGGTACAGCTATGTTTTAACCTGTTGTAGTCTCATGGGAATTTCTTTCTAAATGAACACTCACAATGCTATATTATTTTTTTCTTATACATCGGGTCGTAGCAGGTAAAGCTTGTTTGATTCTCATTAAGGAGTTGAAATAATCTTTCGAACGGACTCCATATGCTTCCAAAGGGAACCAATATATAAAACAATCAGGGGAAACTTTTACTGATGTATCAGCTGTCTAAACTTATCTTTTCATTAAGGCTTACTATTGTTACCTACATACTTGCCATGTTAATGTCACGACCCCAAACCGGCCCGGTCGTGATGGCGCCTCTCGTGAAGACAAGGCCAGCCGACACAACACTCACAACAACCTTTAAGCATTAAAAATTATTTTTAAGCCTTTAATTAAACAACGTTTCATAACAACTTCTGAAAATAATAATGCGGAATAAAAATACAAGCCCGACATCGGGGTGTTACTAGTCATGAGCATCTATCCTGGTCTGAATACAACGACAAGTCTGAAATAATGTACTAAATACAGAGATAGCAATGTCCGAAAGGGAGTGGTGCTGCGGATGTCATGCAGCCACCTGCTAACTCTGAAGACTCCGCGCCTGAACCAATCCACACCCGCGACCGGGTTCCGATATACCTAAATCTGCACACGAGGTGCAGGGAGTAATGTGAGTACTCCAACCCAGTAAGTAATAAGAGTAAATAAAGACTGGGCAGTAGGAAATAATGAATCCACATTCATGTTAGGCTCAATAAACACAACGGGCTTTCAAATCATAATACGAGTCAACCTCTCCTTTTAAAACCCAACTTTTAGTAAAAATCATTTTGAAATACCTTCCAGCAGTTTCAATAGGGGTTCAATACCATTTAAAAGAATAATAGCGATTAAAGGCATAATCGGCCCCTCGGACAAAGCATAGTTCGTAAAACAGCCCCTCGGGCAAAACAATATTCATAGACACTTCATAACCGGAAAATCTTGGTGGAAATAACCAAATGCCAAATCAGTGATTAGTTTCTAAACATCTCATAAAACCTAATTAAAATGAAGTTTGTTTTGAAAATATTTGTTCAACTTTCCGACAGAGGCTCAGTATATAGAAGAGTGAAAACAGTCGATAAATCAACATATTCGATAGAAACTCACTAAAAAAGGGAGTAAAATCAACAAGTTCATAAACAGGCCTCTCAGGCAAACATCACTCATTTGCATGTATATAGTTATCGCCCCTCGGGCTAGTCTCTCTGCCACTCGTGACTCAACTCTTACCAATCAGTGCTCACACTCAGCACTCACGCTCAATAGGTACTATATAGTAACCGCTGCGGCGTGCAGCCCGATCCATATATATATAATAACCGCTGCGGCGTGCAGCCCGATCCATATATATATAATAACCGCTGCGGCGTGCAGCCCGATCCATATATCGCTGCGGCGTGCAGCCCGATCCATCGCTGCGGCGTGCAGCCCGATCCATATGGGTACCCGCGCTCACTGTGGAGGTGCAGACTCCGGAGGGGCTCCTACAGCCCAAGCGCAATATTACTGCGGCGTGCAGCCCGATCCATATATATATAATCCTCACGGCCAGGCCCTTGACCTCTCTCAGTTATTAGCCTCACCATCAGAATCCCAGTCTATCTCAGTCATCAACTTCACAATTAGACTCTCGGTCTATCTCAGTCATCAACTCACGATCACTCGGACCATTAGTAAAACAGGGAACTTACCCCAAACAGTCTTTTACATTTTTAAGAAATATGGTGATAAAGCCAGATTTTTAAACAATAAGCCGGTAAAACATGACTGAGGATATGCTATCAACACATATAGTGAGGAAAAATAGTAAAATGCCCCTAAGGGTCTCAACAGGTCGGCACAAGGCCCCAAACATGGCATATAGCCCAAAACACAATAATATCAGACAGTTAACTATCAAATGCGCATTAAAGTACTCTTTCGGGATGGACTAGGTCACAATCCCCAGCGGTGCTCTATCCCACGCTCGTCATCCAGCGTGCAAGTCACCTCAAAGTAACCTAACGATGTGTAATCTGGGGTTTCAAACCCTCAGGACAGTATTTACAATCATTACTTACCTCGAACCGGCGAAATCTCTAGCTCGCGACGCCTTTGCCCTCCAAATCGGCCTCCACGCGCGTCGAATCTATCCAAAACCAGAACGAATACGTCACAATATGATAAGGGAACAAAGCCCAAGCGAAAACAACCAATAACGGGCACAAATCCCGAAATTACCAAAACCCGAGCCCCGGGCCCACTTCTCGAAAAATCAGAAAATTAACATCATCGGATTCCTTACCTCGCCACGAGTCTATGCATATCAAAATTACCAGAATCGGGGTCCAATTGACCCCTCAAATCCCCATTCTTAACTCTCTTGAGTTCAAGCCCTAACCTCCATTTTTAACCCTTGATTCCCTTAATTTTCCAGCTCTAATCCATGTATTTACACCATAAAATCATGTTTTAAGTCCAAGAATCCTTACCTCATCAAAACCCCTTGAAATCCCTCTTCAAAATCGCCCACAATGCTCCAAGTCCGAAGTGAAATGTCTATCTCTTTCAAAAATTCGCGAAGAAGAAATTAAATACCTCTGCCCAGTCACTTCCGCTTCTGCGGCATCTTTACCGCTTCTGCGGTTGCCGCTCCTGCGGCATTCCTTCCGCTTCTGCGGATATACTCTATTGCGCCCAGGACCGCTTCTGCGGTCCCTACCCGCTTCTGCGGGCTCCGCATATGCGGGCCTCCATCCGCTTCTGCGGAAGCCCTTCCATGGTTCCATTTCCGCATCTGCGCCTTTCCTACCGCATCTGCGGCCCCCTTTCCGCAGATGCGGAAATACCAGATACCAGCCATTATCAGCAATGCTGCAAGTCCAAATTCATCCCGATGGCCATCCGAAATCACCCCGAGGCCCCCGGGACCTCAACCAAAAGTATCAACACATCTTAAAACATTATTCAAACTTGCTCCAATGATCAAAACACCTCAACTAACACCAAAATTATCAAATTACATCGAATTCAAGCCTAAGTTTCTTCAAAAACTTCCGAAACACGCATTCGATCAAAAATCTAACCAAATCACCTCCGAATAGCCTGAAATTTTGCACACACATCCAAAATCACCTAACGAAGCTATAGCAACTCTCGGAATTCCATTCCGACCCTCGGATCGAAATCTCACATATCAACCGGAATTCGCCAAAATACTAACTTCGCCGATTCAAGCCTAATTCTACACCGGACCTCCAAAATCAATTCCGATCACACTCGTAAGTCACAAATCATCTAACGAAGCTAACCAAATCATAAAAAGTCCGATCCGAGATCATATACGAATAAGTCAACTCTTGGTCAAACCTTTCAAATTAGAAGCTTTCAACTGAACTGTTTCTTCCAAATTCATTCCAAATTTTCCTGAAAACCAAAACCAACAATCTATATCAGTCGCAATACATTACACGGGGCAAGTCACGCCCGAGAACTGGCGATCAAAGCGCAAAAGCTCAAAACGACCGGTCGGGTCGTTACATCCTCCCCCACTTAAACACACGTTCGTCCTCGAACGTAGGCAGAGTTGTTTTTTAAAGGCCAACCAATAGCTGAATCACCTTACCACGCATACACCCGGGGGTGATCCCACGTCACCCTATGTCACATAGGTCCGATAACACAACATAGCTAAAATTTCACCATCCAATCTAGCCCATAAGCCA